GAAGGAATGAAGATAAATGTGCTTTTGGTTATCTTTTGCATTAAAAAGCTATGTCCTGCTTGACTAGTTAATAACATCTCTTCCTGTCTCGCAGACTTTGTATTTGGAGCCAAGCTACTGAGGTACATAAATAAAAGGTTCTCTAAATACGTATTGACTATTGTTCCTTTCACTTTGCCAAGCTTCAATAGGGATGTGCTTTTTGAATGCAGCTGCAGCATAACCTGCATTCGTAGCTCTTAATTTAAAGCAGTTTTAACTGTTTTGAATCAACTGCATTTTTGTGTTGACTGGATTTCACATTATAAGGTGTGAATGAGTAGTGTTTGCACTGAGAAAACATAGTTGTTATACAGAATCTACTTTTTTATATGTAGACATATATATGATATATATGTATATAAAATATAATTAATGTGCAGTTATTTTATTCAGCATACAGCATGGATGCATATAAAATCCAACTTGTTAATTAGAGTTTTGCAATGAATGCTCCACCATTTTACTTAAATGAGATAAAGTTCACCATTAATTTTGTGATTTTCAGCATATATATCCAGAAAGTAAAAAAAGTGGATTTTTGTTATGTCCAAGAACAGAGTACTGAGGAAGACAAGAAGTAGTGTTTGCAATTTTAGCATCAAAATCTATGAGGTAGAAGGATCCAGGACTTCTCCAGGTGGTCTTGCAGCTGTGAGATTTGCAAAGCTATTTCCTTTCAGTTTTGCAGTCAGAAGAAATTTATTTGCTACGGAAATGATGGCATACGGCTGTTCTTCTACAAACACTATTCCAAGTATTTTTACAGCCTTACTTCATGGAAATAAAAAACACTGGGCTGTAGTTAGTGCTCCATGGCTTTCTTTGCCCTCTTCCCACAGAAGGCTGGTTTGTCAGGGAGCTCTGGAGTAACCCAAGACACCAGGCTTCTCCCTGTGAAAGAGGTTGAGGTCAATTGTAGCCACGATGTGCATTGAGAGGATTCCTTCCTCAGGTGGGTCTTGTATGCCAAGTCTTGTCCATAAATTAGGCACTGGTGAAGATTTTGTTGCTGGTGCATGGCTAATGCACTGCAGAGGGATGGCAGCTGGATCAATGTCTGTAGCTTGCACAGTTGGCAAGGTATCTCTTGCCAAGACCTTTTTGTTTTGCCCCCATCCAGAGAGGAAGGCCCATGGACTGACACTCCATTGTAGAGCTACCTTGCCAGGGAACATGTTGTATTTGCATTCCAGATGCCTCTGGCTTTGTGAACTGCATTGTTCCAGCCTCCTTTGAATAGCAGCTATTCACCCCTAACAATGTACATTTGTTTAAATCAACTCCTTTCCCTGCTTTTAAAAGCTTATTATAGCACTAGCCCAACCAAGTGAAGGCTTCTCTTCAGGCCCCTTCTTTCCCCCTTCATAGCAAGAAAAAAGACTTTGCAGCATTAGTTACTTAATTTCAAGATGGAAAACATTTTCCTTCTTCTGAGAGGCTGTTTTGAATGCTGAGGTTTTGGCAAATTTTGTTGCGGCTTCATGTTTACGAGCTTTTCATTGCTCTTGAAAGCATAAACTTCATGTTACTTGAGCTTCTGAGATGCTGGCAAATAATAAACCAGTGGAGTAACAGTGGTTTGGTTGTCGTGAAACACTTGAAGAACTTGACTGCATTTTGGCAGATAGGTTTTTTTGCTCTTTTTGTGTGCATTTAGGTGGATTGAGCTCACATAGAAGGAGATGGTGGAGAATGCTCATCAGGACAGACCTTTAGTGCCCAGCACCAGGCGTGCAAAAGTATTGCTGAGGGGGTGTAGGCTGGGACCAAATTCTCTTTGCTGCTTAGTACATGCATCCACCCCTCAAGCCATGAGGTCTTCAGAGGCTGATGGTGACAGTAGCCACCATCATTAAGTCCCTTGCAATTTATGAACCAAACTATGACTGTTTGCTATGGGGGGAAGCTTTGCTGTGTCTTGCTCCTGTGGGTTATTAGGTCAAGGCAGAAAAGACCAGTGAAATAAAAATTTTCTGAGAGCTGGACAACCTTTTAGTCCTTTAATTTTATGCCATAATAATACCACTAATAACAGCAAAATATTCAAATATGGAACAGTGATTTTCTGATTGAGTGGGATGGTTTAATGAGCTGAGGATTCTTTTTTCTGGTGTCCTTTGTTAAGTCAGGAGTATCTCATCTTGTGAGGTTTCTATAGGCATTATTGTTGAACACGTTAGTGAAATGTTTCCTGCAAGCTGATGGAGATGATCCTACCCCTCTGCTCAGCCCTGTTGAGCTGTGAACTGGAGTGCTATGTCCAGTTGTGTGCTCACCAGTGCAGGAGAGACATGGATATACTGCATGGGGTCTAACAAAAGACCAGAAAGATCATGAAGGATCTCTCTCCTAAGATTACAAGCTGAGAGAGCTAGAATTCTTAAGCCTGGCTAAGGCTCAGGGGGAATCTCACCAGTGTGTGTAAATACCTGGAGGGAAGATAAAAGAGGAGGGAGCCAGGCTCTTCTTGGTGATGCTCAGTAACAGGCTCAGAGTCTGTGGGCACAGGCTGAAACACAGGAGATTCGCACTGAACATCAGGAAACACTTTCTATTGTGGGACTTTCTATTGAGGGACTGAGTGCTTTCACAGCCAGCTCTATGTGAGCCTTCTTGAGCCCCTGAGGTAGAGGCCCTCCAGAGGTTCCTGTCAATTTATGAATGAAGTGAGGTGGCTGATGACATGCAGGAATCCCAGGCAAAGCTCAGCTCACCTTGCTTTCATTGTATGGCACAGTCCATCATCACATCATCTCTCTTGCTGTGCACTCATGCTTATAGGCTTTAGACTCATTCCGTGGTGAGTTAAGTGGGCTCTGCATCACCCAGCCCCACAGGGGTTGACAGGCCAGCTACAAGCCTCAGGTTTTCACTCTTGGGCACACTTGGGGACAGTGAGCTGATGGCAGCACCTGCGTTAAAGTGAAAAAAATCCTTTGTCTCTACATGACAGTTGTGGTAGCTGTTCCTTAGTACCAAATATGTAGCCTTCAAAGTTGTCATCACTCCTGTGTCTGTACCTGAGGGATACAGGACATTTCTGTTTGCTGGCTCTGATGTAGAGGTAGCAGAGGAAGTCCAAGAGCCATGCCCTTACATCAGCCTTCCTTCCTCTGGGAAGTGCAGAGTGAGAGGTACCCTTGGACCAGTCAGCATGGGGATGTTTGTGGTATTCAAGAGAATAAAAACAGAAGAGTGCCCTGGGTTTTCTGATGACCAGAGTCTGATGTAGACCCAGGAGAGTGGGTGGAAGTGTTCCCACCTGCTGTTACTGGATTTTGAATTTAATATTCAAGTCTTATGTATTGCTTTTACCACTTTTGGGGAGCTGTTTCCTGGTCCCCTGCTCCTCCCCACCTCAGGTACTGGTGCTCTCCTTTCCACTTCTATCTGCCCTAACCCTGCACTTTTGAATTGAAAAGCCTTGCATTTGAACTGCTTCAGAATTGCTGTATACCTAGGAACCATCTGACTCAAAGTTTTGGAAGTAAAAGGGGAAATGCTCCACAGGCATTTGTGGCATTGCAAATGGAAAGCAGTTTGTGAAAAGACGCAGTTGCAAAAGATAAAGAGGAATATTGTTGCTTTGTTCTCTGTGTCCAGGTGAGCTCTTCCCTTTTAGGGAAACCAAACAGCAAGAGTTTTTAAATTCTCCATGAGTACTATTTTGTCTCAGTGCTGCTATTGTCCCATCATAGAAAGAAGAATAACGTTTATTCAACATTATTTGAAAGCATATGTAACCTGTAATGTGGCTGAAGTCCATGGCAAGCTCACAAGCCATTTACCTTAACAGGCAACAGAATAAAAATCTGTATTTGTCTTAATTATTAATCAGGACTGCACTCCCTCCACCTTAAAAAGGCTTTGTGTCTCGTTTCTCTGTGTGAAAATTCAGGCAAGGACAGTCTTTGGATGCTAGCATGCAAAATTATTTTACTTGGTTTTTTTTCTGTAATTGTACATCCAAAACTTATGATTGTCGGGGTATATCCCAGTACTTTCCTACCACTCCTTTACTTTTTCTTTGGGAGTTTTTTCTGGTGAAAAAACATCTCTGTTCTCTAAAAGCCACTAAAATACTGTTGCCCGGATATAGAGCCAGATGTTTGAAGAGGATAAGAGTATAGTTTGGATTGGAAGTCAGGCCATGGGTCAATGCTGCTCAGTTTTCATGCCAGCTAAAGTCTTCTCCTATGCAGGAGCAACTTGAGTGGCTATTGCTTAAGGGATGGTTTTTGCTGCAGCATCAACTGTGGTCCTGCTTTCTTGTTCTTGGTGCTAGATACTTCTATATTCTTAATGCTGCATCTACCAGCCAGGTGGTAGATGCAGCATTAAGCTCTGCCTGCTCTACTAGACTGACTTAGGTGTCTCACGGATAGTGTCTCCAATGCCTCCAAAGCAAATATCAGTTCTTTGCAACCTTGCTTGCTACTTCTTGGTCTTTTCTTTTAATCCTCTGCATTGTTGTGCAGCCGAGAGAGGAGAACGATATAAATGGGAGCAGTTTAGAAAAAAGGTGAAAGATAAAGTGCTGGGAGTGTCTGGCTGAGGTTGAAAATAAACAGGTAGGGAGCCAGTTGGCTTTGGGGCGGATCTTCTAAAATGTGTGTAAGTTCAAACACTGTCCTGTAATTTTACATGTGCTAGCATGAAGCACTTGACTCAGAGAATCAGAGGATTGGCTCCAGCTGTTCTTGCCGGCATTTAGGAACTTGTTAAAAAAAAAAAAGGCACTTCAGTGTAGTTCTCCAGTGTTTACTCATCGAGCAGAAACCAACAAATACTTACTAAGAGATTATTTTATTTTCTTTCACTTGCTTATTTGAATTTGCTTTCTCTTTCTCTCCTAATCCCTGATAAGTATTTCTAGAGAAAAATAGTGAGTAGAATTCTTTTTTTTCTTTTTTCAGTTTTTCTGTTTTGTCATCTATAACTCTGTTTTTTTATTTCAGGGGTCTCGGGTCTGGCTGCGAGAAAATAATCAGCATTATCCCAGCACTGTTCATTCCTGTGCAGAAGGAGTTGTCGTATTCAGGACAGACTATGGTCAGGTATGGACATTGTGTTGTCTTTTTCACAACTCTGTTAAAAATAAGCTTTCACAGAATCACAGAGTGGGTCATATTGGTAGGGACCACACTGGGTCATCTGGTCCAACCTCCCTGCTCAAGGAGGGTCATTCTAGAGCACATGGCACAGGTTTGTGTCCTGATGGTTCTTGAATATCCCTAGCGGTGAGGGAGACTCCACAGCCTCTCTGCACAACCTGTTCCAGTGCTTGGTCACCCTTTACCTGCAGTAAAGAAGTTTTTACTTGTGTTTAGGTGGAACTTCTGTGCATCAATTTCTGCTGGTAACCTCTTTACCTGTTGTTTGGCACCACTGAGCAGAGCCTGGCTCCATCCTCTTGACATCCTCCCTTCAGATATTTGTACAGATTAATGAGGTCATTTCATATTTGCCTCTTCTTGAGGCCCAGCTTCCTCAGCCTTTCTTAAGGCTGAGAATAAGAGAGATTCTCCAGACTCTGTATCAACTTGTTACTCTCTGCTGGAGGTGCTCCAGAAGCTCCATGTCTGTCTTGTACTGTGGACTCCAGAACTGCACACAGCACTCCAGATGTGCCTCACCGAGCTGAGCAGACGGGCAGGATCACCTCCCTTGACCTGCTGGCAATGCTTTTCCTAATGTGTCCCAGGATCCCATTGGCCTTCTTGGCCATAAGGACACACTGCTGGCTCATGAACCATTTGTTGTCCACCGAGATCCCCAGGTCCTTCTGTGCAGGGCCTGCATTTGCCTTTGTTGAATTTCAGAAGGTTTTTCTCTGCCCAGCTCTCCAGCCTGTCCAGGTCCCTGTGAAAGGCTGCACAAGCTGAAGTATCAACCTCTCCTCCCAGCTTTGTGTCAGCAGTGAACTTGCTGGGAAGGGACTCTATTCCCTCATCCAAGCCATTGATGAAAAAATTAAATAACGCTGGGCCCAGTATAGAACCTAGGGGACACCATGAATAACAGACCTCCAAACTCTGTACCACTGATCACAACCTTCTGGGATCTGCCACTCAGCCAGTTCCGAATCCATTCTGCTGTCCACTCATCCAACTTAATGCTTTTTGAGTTTGCCTAAAAAGGATTTAGTAAGAGACAGTGTCAAAAGCCTTGCTGATGTCGAGGTGGAAAATATCCTCTGCACTCCTTTTATCCATCCACGCAGTTGTTTCAGCACAGAAGGCAGTCAGTCTGGTCAAACATGAATTACTTTTAGTGAACCCATGCTGACTACTCCTGATCACCTTCCTGTCTCCCATGGGGGTTGAGATGGCCTACAGAGTGAGGCACTCCATTACCTTTCCACAGATTGAGGAGAAGCTGCCTGGCTGGTAGTTTTCTGTGTCCTCCTTCTTGCTCTTTTTGAAGACTGGGGTGATGTTTGCTTTCTTCCAGCCCTCAGGCACCTCTCCTGATCTCCATAACCTTTCAGAGGTGATCGTCAGTGGCCTTGCTGTGGTGTTCACTGGCTCTCTCAGCAGTCCATAGATGCATCTTGTCAGGGCCCATGGACTTGTGGATGTCAAGTTTGCCTAGGTGTTCTCTGCCAAATCTTCCTTGACTAAGGGCAGGTCTTCCTCCTGACATTCCTTTGCCTTTGTCTCCAGGGTTAGAGATCTTTGAGGGCTGGTCTTGTCAATGAAGATTGATGCAAAGAAGGCATTCAACAACTCTGGCTTCTCTCTGTCCTCTGTTACCAGGGCCCCCCCTCCATTTATTAATGGGCCCACATTATCCTTTGGTTTCTCTTGTTATTAATGTTTTTGAAGAAGCCCTTTTTATTATCTTTTACATGCTTGGCCAGATTTAATTCTAGATGGCCTTCCTAGTCTCATTTCTACTTACCCTGATCACCTTTCTAAATTCACTCCAAGGAGCCTTACCTTACTTTGATCTCCTGTGAACTTTTTTGCTTATACTTGAGCAATGACAGTTCTTTATTCATTCACAGAGGTTTCTTGTGCCCTTGGCCTGACCTGTTTCTCATTGTGTTGCATTGTTCTTGAGCCTGAAAGAAGTGAGCCTTGATTATTGACTAACTCGTCTGGGCCCCTCTTCCCTGCAAGGCCTGCTCCCATGGAATTCTTCCAAGAGTATCCCTAAAGACGCAAAATTAGCTGATCTGAAGTCCATGGTCATAATCTTGCTCACTGCCCTACTACCTCTTTGTTCAATACTGAACCCCACAATCTCATGGCCATTCTAGCCAAGTCTGTGCCCAACCTTCATGTCAAAAAAGGCTTTCCTTGTTGGTCACTGTGAGGTCAAGCAGCACAACATTCCTTGTGGGATCCTCCAGTATCTGTGACAGGAATTTGTCATCAGTGATTTCCAGGAACCTCCTGGCCTGTTCATGCTTTGCTGTGTGGCTTTCTAATGGATGTCAGGGTAGGTAAAGCCCCGCTCCAGGTGACTTTGAGGCTCCTGTCATTGTCTGTAGAAGGGCTCCAGTCAGGGAGACTGGAGCAAACACCCACAGAGCAAACACCCTTACTTGTCTGCCCTTTTATCCTGACCCGTAAGCTCTCAACTTGCTCATCATCCACCCCGAGACAGAGCTCAATACATTCCAAGTGTTGCCTCAGAGAGAAGGCAACTCCACCACTGTGCCTTCCTGGTCTGTCTCTCCTAAGCAGTGTGTAGCCCTTCATGGCAGCATTCCCCTGTGGGAGCTGTCCCATCACATCTCCATAATCACAATAAGATTGGAGTCTTGCTTCACTCGACAAAGGCGAGTCACATCTGTGCCAGCATGCCTGGCACTGCACAGGCCATTCTGTTGTCAAAACCCCCAAAATTACAGTGGTGACACCAATGTGTATTTTCTCCATGTGTGGAGGGCATAGTGGGAAACTAAAAGGTTTGTGAATAAAATATTCATTTTGTATGACCTGAATGTGCAACTTGGTTGTTACAGTTCTTTCTGTTGCCTCTCCAGTCAGTTGCTCTGATTGTGTCTGACAAAGCTGAAGTAATGCTGCTGGGAGTGAGGGCCTTGTTCCACATGGGCTGGTGATTATGTAGTTTACTGGAGGAAGGTGGCCTCTCCAAGGTTATATTCCCTTACAGTAACAGAAAGTTGGGGCTGGCACATGGCCAAAAAAATAAAAGCATGTCAGAGACAGGGTACCCTTGCTTTCTTTACATGCCTTTCTCCAGGCAGGAAAGGAACCAGACAGAATTGCAGAGTGGCTTTTGATGGGCAAGATGTAATGTACTCATGATTAAATTGCTGCTGTGCTGACACTGTGGGATGAAAATGATGGAGTGACCACATCAGTGAAGAAGAGAAGAGCTGGGCATGTCATCTGTCTGGACTTCTCTAAAGCCTTTGACACGGAACCCTACAATATCCTTCCATCTAAACTGGGGAGATAGGAATGGATTAACTCTTTGGTGGAGGAGAATTTGCTTGGATGGCTGCATCCAGACAGTGGTGGTCAAGAGTTGAACTGGTAATAAGGATGTCCCTTGGGGTTCTGGACTGGGACTAGAACTCTTAAATGCCTTCATCAATGGCATTGGCAGTGGGATAGAGCACAGCCTCAGCCAGTTTGCAGGTAACACCAAGCTAAGTGATGCAGCTGACAGGCCTGAAGGATGGAATACCACCCAGAGGGCCCTGGACAAGCTTGAGAAGTGGACACATGCATATACTTCATGAATTTCTGTGATGTCAAGTACAAGGTCCATGCATTTGAGTTGGGGCATCCCTTGGTATCCATACAGATTGCTTGAGAATAGCCTTGCCAAGAGGGATTTCAGGGTGCTGGTGGATGAAAGGCTGGACGTGATCTGGCAGTGTGTGGACAGCCCAGGAAACTGACTGTATCTTGGGTTGTATCAAAAGCAGCATGACCAGCAGGTCAAGGGAGGGAGTTCTGCCCCTCTGCTCCACTCTTGAGCTACCTCACCTGGAGTACTGTGTCCATCTCTGGGATCCTCAGCACAGAAAGGTCGTTGACCTCTTGGAGCCATGGAGGAGGGCCATGGAAATGATCAGAGGGATGGAACCTCTTATGAGGTCAGACTCAGAGACTTGAGGTTGTTCAGCATGGAGAAGAGAAGGCTCCAGGGGGACCTTATACCACCTTCCAGTACCAAAAAGGAGCCTACATGAAAGCTGAGGACAAACCTTTTAGTAGGGCCTGTTGCAGTAGAATAAGGGGTAGTTGTTTTAAACTAAAAGAGGGTAGATTTAGATGAGATTAAGGAAGAAATTATTTATTTTGAGGGTTGTGAGGCACTGGAACATACTGCCCAGAGAAGCTGTGCATACCTGAAAGTCTTCAAGGTCAGGCTGAATGATATTTTGAGCAACTTGGTCTACTGGAAGGTATTCCCCCTTGTGGCAGGGGGGCTGGACTAGTTGGTCTTTACAGCTTTCTTTCAATCCAAGGCATTCTATGATTCTGTCATCCTTCTATCTTGCACCAAGTTATTGATGACCCAGACACACGTGGTACAGGGTACATTGACAAAATTAGACTAAGAACAACTGCCACTGGGTACAAAGCCTCCTCTCAGAGAAACAAGAAAGCCACCTATGTGCTGGTGTGTTCTCTGTGGGTTGCATGTTAAATTGTGCCTTTAAGGTTCTCAGATTTGGGGTGTTGTGTATATTGACTTTTCTTACTGAAATTTGAAGTCTGGTTAAGTGGAAAGGCTGAGACTGTCTCCTCTGTTGGCTTTTT